ACCCCCGCCCCCGCCTCAGGTGCTGGCCGCAGCGGCCGCAGGCGGTGGCGCGCTTCACCGGCTTGGCGCGCCTAAACCTCAAGGGGCCCTACATCCACGGTGGCAGCAGTCAAGCGCGCGCGGACGCGGTCGGGCCGCTGGTGGGCCCCCACTCCTGCGTCGCGCCCCTGGCAGTCGCGCTGCTCTCGGCACCTCGATGGTTGCGCCGCGCCCGCACGTTCACGACAAGCAGCCGATTGCCTGCTTGCATGAGCGTGCTTGCAGGATTTTCGCCGCGTTTTATGTCCCCATGCTGCCCTGCCGCCCTCACGACTGACGCCAGTGATGCTGCACCGCGCCGCCCCTTGGCTCCCCCATGCCGCAGCTCATGAGTGCCGCGCTGCTGCCTCGACTGAGTTCCCTTGAAATCTCCTACCCCGGGCCGGGTGCGTTGTGTGGGGGGCCGCCGCCCTGCCTTGCCTCTACGCCTCAAGGCTGCCTTTGCTGGGCACGCCGCCTGCGGGCAGCTAGTTGCTGTGCCCGCTGCAGCGCGGCCGCGCTGCCTGGGCCGCTGACGTCACACTTGCAACCTGTACCTCCGAGTACTAGCTCCTTGCTTCCCCTTCCATTGTGGCGTCATGGTGTGGCTTCCACCTTCAAACCACGTGTGCCTCCTGCGTTTCTCGTCTGAGATCACAGGCTCCCTCGATGATCTGGACGCGCTGACTCAGCTGACCAGCCTCGCCCTCTGCCGCGGCCACGACGCGGGCGGCGGCGGCCTACCCCCCTCGGCAGCCGCCGCGATCGCGCCGCCGGCCCAGCTGCCGGGCGCGGCGCAGGGCGGCGAGGAGGCGGGGCCCGCGGCCGCGGCGGGGGCGGCGGCGGGGCTGGACGCGGACGGGCGGCCGCGCGATTTTGTGCAGCTGCCGGCGGCGGTGGGCGAGCTGCGGCTGCTGCACACGCTTCGGTTGGACAACCTGCCCCCCTGCTACGACGCCCTCCGGCGGCTGCCGGCGCTGCTGCGGCTTGAGATGCGAGTGAGGGACGGTCGTAGGGCAGTTGGACCTTTTCACCCTGCAGACGTTTCATATCAAGGCCTTTTTGCAGTCCTGGACACAACTGCTGACTGTGCGCGGCAGGCAGCTGCCCGTGGGCTTCATGCAGATGCGCTTCCGCACCCGCCTACGCTCATCGCAGCAGCCAGGGTGCGCTTCTGACCCCCGGGAGCCTCGTGCGCGCGCTTGGCCTTGTACCCTCTCAGGGCCAGACGCTGCGTCTGCGCAACGGGCTACTCATGGCCGCCAACCCGCTGCCCGGGGTGGGGCAGCTGCGGGGCCTAACAGCGCTGGTGGCGCGCTGCAACTACGGCATCAACAGGTGCGCCGCGGGGCCTCACGGTGCCGTGGCGGCTGCGTTGCCCGCCGGGAGTTGGCCGCGGCCACCCCCCTCTCGCCGCGCTCCCCGCAAGCCGCGCCGCGCGCTTTTCCGCCGCCGCCGCCGCAGACTTTCTCGTGCGCGCGCCATAGGCCGCCCGCCGGCCGCGTGCTGGCCTCGGCTGAGGGCGCCTTGTGCCCGGACCCACGCTAGATCGCCACACGCCTACTAAGAGAAGCCCCCATCGCACATCAAGATATCATCCCCACCCTCCTGCCCCCTTACACCCAGGCTGCCCGCTGAGATCGGGCAGCTGGCGGCCCTGGAGGTGCTGGACGTCTCCAAAAACATGCTCTGGCAGATCCCTGACGAGGTGCGGCGCCGCCCTACATCACTGCTCACTCACTCTGTATACTATACATGAATATGCGCGTCCGACTCGCGCCGCACACGTGTGCCTGCTCGGCGTTGTCCATCCTGCTGGCCTCGCGCTGCCGCCTGCGGTGCCGTTTTGTGACCTCGGTGCCGACGCGCCTCGCGCAACGCCTGCGCTCCGCATCCGGTCAAACCTCGCCAGACCGCCTGTCTGGGCCATCCCTGTAAACAAAACGCTCTGCTGCCCTCCTTATCAAGTGTCAGCGAACGCCCCCCGCCTGCGGGACCCCGCCCCCTGTGCACCCGCAGGTCGCGTCGCTGCGCCGCCTGGCGCACCTGGACGTCAGCTCAAACTGCCTCACCGCGCTGCCAGAGTGCCTGCCGCCCAGCCTCACGCACCTGGACGCCTCCAACAACTCGCGCGTGGTGCGATAACCGACGCTTCTCATCTCATGTTTGTTTATCGGTCCTGTGATGCTGATGAGTCTGTCATTCTTTGATGTCATAAGGGCGGAGATGGTGTGTGGCTGGAACCGGTGTCGCGCACCGAGCTCAGTCGTGGTTGCTAGCGGGCTGTCGTCGAGCTTGGCGGCGCCGTGTTGGGGCCCTGGTGCAGGTAGCTATGATTTCGGCCTGTCAGCCCATGCTGGCCGGTGCTGTTCAGGTCGCACCTCGCCGCAGAGTGCAAGTGTGAAATAACACGCACCACACCTGGCCCACAATCCGCACACACCTGCCCCACAATCTGCACACACACACACACACACACACACACGCGCGCGCGCGCGCACATGCACACACACTTCCTCCGCCCTGAACGCCACACCCGGCGCGCCCCCACCCCAGAACTCCCGGCCCCTCCCCACCCACCGCCTGCCCGTGCCCCCCCGACCCCCACTCCAAACCAGGTCCTTCCCGAGTCCCTCTCGCGCCTGGGCGCGCTGCGCTCCCTCCACCTCAACTGGGTGTGGTCGGACCTGGGCCCCGTATTCCGCGCGGGCCGGGGGCTGTCGCGGCTGGAGCTGCTGCGCGCGATTGGCAACGGCATCACAGAGCTGCCAGACACCATCCGCGAGTTCAAGGCGCTCAGGCGCGGCCCTCCGCTTTTCACCTCGCCCTGTTGTTGGGGGCGTGTTCGTCGTGCGGGGGCTCGCAGGGGCGGAATTCGGTGCAGATGGCTGGCAGCACCGCCGGATTTCCCATTCCAGGGCCTTCCAGAGGTGGAGCCCTTCCATCGCGGGGCAATAGGGCAGCCCGCCGCCGTCGGAAATCCGCACCTCTCAACCCCCTGGTATCCTCTAGCGGCTGCCGCACGCGCCAAAGAAGCCCTCCGAATGAGCCGCACATTCACACGCGCCGACGCCGCCCCGACGCCCCCCTGTCGCCGCCGCCCGCAGGGTGCTGGAGCTGTCCATGAATAACCTCTCCTCCCTGCCGCCCGCTGTCGGCGCCCTCGCGTCCCTCGCCACCCTCGACCTGTCTGACAACCGCCTGGCGTCCCTGCCAGACGACCTGGGGGCGCTCGCTTCACTGCAGTCCCTGGGGCTGCGCAGCAACAGCCTGGGGGAGCTGTGCGAGGGGGTGGGGGCGCTGGGGGCGCTGACGTCACTGGACGTGTCCATGAACCACCTGGAGGCGCTGCCGTGGAGCGTCACCCGGATGACGGCGCTGCAGCAGGTGCGTGCGGCTCGGCGCAGTGTGCGCCCACGTGTGGGCGTTTGCAAGTGCGTGTGTATGCGTGTTCAACTCTGGTGTGCTGCCGATTGTGCTGGCGATCAATCGAGGGCCGGCTCGGTGGCAGGTATCATACGCCTGTGGACATGAGCGCAACCACTCCTCGAGGGGGCGGGGGTGGTCGTGCTCATGTCCAGCAGGATCTCTTATTGCACCTTTCAAGAGACACATCAGCAAAGCGCAGCCCTGCGAATGGGCGCGAACTACACCGTGTAGCAAAGCAGTGCGGCTCGTCTTTCTCATCGCCCAAAAGCACCGCTCCTCCCCACGCCCCCAAAAATTCAAACCCCAACTCCCGCAGCTGGCCGTCTCCATGAACCCCCTGGCGTCGCTGCCGCCCGGCCTCTCGGCCCTCACGCGCCTGCGTGTCCTCGAAATGTACTACGTCCGCCTGCCGACCAGCGCGCCCGCCGCGGACGCCGGCGCCGGCGCCGGCGCCGCGGGCTCAGCGTGCGGCGCCGACCAAGGGTGCGCTGCGGCGGCGGCCGGGCACCGGCTCCAGGATCTGATCCCGGGCCTCTTCGTCTTCTGCAACGCCCCCGCGCCACCTGCGCCCGGCTGCGCGGCGCGGGCGGCGGCGGAGCTGCCGATGGGGCCGGAGGGCCCTGACCCCGGTGATCTGATCGGCGGCGACGAGAGCCACAATGGCGGCAGCGGCGGCACGGAGGTCGGGGGTGCTGATCACGGCGTTGATGCTGCTGCTCACGCGCTCTACGCTGACGCAGCGCCCCCGCAGCGGGATGTGGCGGCGGCCTCCCCCGCGGGCGGGCCCTCCATGAGAAGCTGCCTGGCAGCTGGCGGGTGCCCTGGCGGCGCCATGTCGTCTAGCATGGGCAGCAGCCTAGGCGCGAGCACCAGCAGCGGCAGCAGCGACGCCGCGGGGGCCTCCGGCGGCGGGCCCGCGGCGACGGGCGCGTGGGAGGGGGCAGAGGGATCCGGGGCCGACACGGAAGATCTGGAGTCGCTGCTGTTTGAGATGGGGCTGGCTGAGCAGGTGGACCGGGCATCTGCGTCGGCGGGCGCGGCGGCTGCGTCGTCCGGGCGGCCGCCGGCCGCAGGGGCCCCTGCCCCAAAGCGCGGCGGCATGGCGGCACGTGGCGGCGCGGGGGCTGCAAGCAGTGATGGGGACGACGTCGCGGCGGCGGTGGACCAAGGGGCACCGTCGGGTCACGCGGAGTACGCGCGCCCCGCCAGGCGCTGCACGTGGTACGAGTGACCCCCTTGAATTCTGCGCGCGCACTTGCGTGGTGCCCAGGCTGCTGAGTCTAAAGCCGCGCGACACCCCACTAGTGTAGCGCTTGCGCGAGGGAACGGCTCTGTGCGCTTTGGCATTCGCTCAGCTGTGCCTTCAGCTGCAAGTGCCACTGCCATGATTGCCATTGCTTTGATCACCTCTCTTGGAGTTGTGACGGGCTGAGCCTTGAATCGTTTCTCAGCTCGTCCAGTGTTGTTTGAGTCTGTCCGTCGCCAGCATACCGGGCCTGGTGGTCAAGCATTGCCATGCAACCAGCCTTATTGATCAGTGCACATGGCAGCCCTACGGGCTAGCCCTGTGATTTCACATGCAGCACCAATACAGGGCTGCTGCAACATGCAGCCACCAGCATCGACTGTGGTGCGCACAAGCATCCTAAATCTTGAGTAAAAGACACGGCATCCCAAAAGGTGGGGGCAACAGTGGGTGTGAGGTGTGTGGTGCTTGGGGCTGGGCGCGTGCTTTGAAGGAGGCGGGGCTTGCACTGGCGGGGCGGGGTGAAGCGGGGCGGGGTAGAGTGAGGTTGGGCGACAGGGGTATGGCGACGGCATGTGACTTTGCCGATATTGCATCGTTTCAGGTGTGAAGGCCTGTGGGTAGCTACCCTTATTATGCAGTAAGCACTCGCCATACATCAACAGGGGCCTGTTTTACTGTGTCTGCATTGCCGTGAGCGTGGGAGCACCATTGGCCGTTCTCACCGGGCAGGCCCAGGGGTGGTCAATCACCAGTGCACGGCGGTCAAGCACACTGACCTTGACATGCGTGTGGTGGCTTTGAATTTCGATCTTGGCTGCAGCGACTATGTTATAATGCATAACATAGCGCATTTATACCGCACACCCGATCATCAGGCCTCTCGCTCTGCATTCGCTTCATCACCCCGTACCCCTTGCTTGGTCTGAACTACCCAATCGGCAAACGGGGCATTGAAACAATTTGAGTGATCCTGAAATAAACCCTAAGCGACGCACTCAGCAGCACTGTTGCCGTTTTTTGAGGCCCCACCGTCTGTTTCTGAATTTAGAGCAGCTTGGCGGTCAAAACAATAGCCTACTATCGGCATATGATAGGATAAGCGGATCGAGTGGGGTTTCGATCAGGCCGCGGCCCCGTGCTCCAACGCTTCAACCCATGGCGGCGCCGTTGGACGACGTGGCCCCCCTGCCGCCGTTACCGCGGCCCCCAGCCAAGGAGATGCGCGGCCCGACCGACTGGTGCAACTGGGTCATCCCCGGGCGCGTGATCGCGGGCGCTTACCCCGCCTCCATGAGTGATGCGGACACTGAGAACGTGCTCACGCTGCTGCTGGAGCTCGGTATGAACACTTTTGTGTGCCTTCAGGTGCGTGTTGCCCATCCCACCGTCGACAACGGCACGCACATGCCACGCGGCAGCTAGAAGTGCCTGGCAGCAGTCCGCGCCACTTCCACATCGAAACACGCAACCGTAACAGCGGCTTGTGTCAGGGAACCCAACTTTCCGGTCCACACGGCGCCCATCCGACCCAACCCCAAATCTCCGCCTTCACATGATTTTCAAATCACTGCTGGTTTGACCCACCCAGGCAGAGGTCAACATCCACGTGCCAGACCACGTGTGGCGCGCCGGCCACAGCCTGCGCCCGTACATACGCGACGCCCAGCGCATCCTGTCGCGCGCCCACGAGACGCGCAGCACGCGCATCAAGCAGCAACGCATTGACTTCCTGCACCTGCCCATCATCGACGGCAGCGTCACCACGGACAGCGCAATGCACAGGCGAGCGGAGGCAGGGTCTGACTGATGGACCTGCCGAGCGAGGCGCCACGACAGATGAGAGACGCCGGACGGGCCGCCGTTTTTTGTCAGCGCTTGGGTACCGCTTACGAATTCTTGAATGACGGCACCCCTAAGCACACGCTGCAGGGTGAAGGAGTACAGATCAAGCAATTGCCAGCTGCGTGACTGGCATGCTTGTCTCCGTGACCAGCACAGTGCTAAATCACTCCCTCTCTGCAAACCGTGCAGGCTGGCAGAGGACTGCTGCGAGCGCGTTCTGCGGGGAGAGCGGCTCTACATCCACTGCTGGGGCGGCCACGGGCGCACCGGGACGCTGGTGGCTATCATGCTGTCCCGCCTGTACGGCCTGCCGTACACCAGTGCGTCGCGCTCGGGATGGCGCGCGGATGGCGCAGCACGATACTGTGGGCGACGGGCGGCAACGCTATCTTCTGCGCAGTTTGTCGTTGCAGTGTGGTGAACGATTGAGTGCACAACAGCTCGAGGCAAGCTGGATGGACTTGCGCCCACACCTACGGCCGCTCTGCTCACACATCGTGCCCGCTCGTCCCCCCAAAACCGCCCAGGCGCGCTGCGCCACACGCAGGCGTACCACGATGCGCGCGTGTACCCCCAGGGGGTGCGCTCCCCGCAGACAGCGGTGCAGCGCGCGCAGGTCAGGCGGCTGCTGCTCGTGCCCTCGCCCACCGCGCGGGCGCGCGCGGGTGCGCTGCTTCAAGACAGGGGGCTGGCCGTCAGCAGTGGCCTGGCTGGCACGTATGGCGGCGGCGGCGGAGGCGACGGCGGCGCCGGGCAGCAGGAGGCGCCGGGTGGTGCGGCTGATCAGTCGTTCTTGCAGGGACGGCAGCAGCAGCAACAGCAGCGGCCGCCGCCGCCGCAGCAGCGGCAGCAGCAGCTGTGGCCGGCTTCCCCTCCAGGCAAAACCTACAACCTGTCAGGGGCGCGCAGCAGCAGGGGTGCAGCGGTCGCGGACGCGGCACCAGGAGTTGCGGCAGATGCCTTGAACCCGGCAACGCCGTCCAAGGCGGCCCAGCCGCAGCGGGTGCTGGGGCGGCTGGGGTCCCCGGCCACCAACATAAGCCCTGCAGCTGGCTCTGCAGGCTGCAGCAGCACGCTGGCAGCCCTGGGCGGCAATATTAGCGCCGGCCTCGCGCTGCGCCAGCACAAGTTTGCGGCAGCGCTCAGCAGCAGCAGGTGGGCGCGGCAGAGGGCCAGGGGGTGCGGCGAGTTGTGTGCAACGGGTGTGGGTGCGGCGGGTTGCCAGAAATGTTCGTTACAAGCAGCTCGGACGCGTCATGCCTTTAAGTGTCCTGATGCAGATGCATATGTTTTGGCTTCGACGAGGTTTAACATCTTGCCCACGCACCGCTTTTGCTTCTCGCAATGCCTTAGCGTGGTCGCTGCTGACTCCATCTTTCAACAATCCCTCGGGCGGCCCAGCAGGCCTGCAAGTCTGGCTGCCGCCTCGGTCGCCGCACCTCCTCGGCCCTCCTCCTCGCCCAGCTGGATGGCTGCCGTGGCGGCGTCAGCGGCCGCTGGCGCAGCAGCCGCATCCGCTTCTCCCGCAGCCGGCAGCAAGAGCGCCGGCTCCGTCGCGGCTCCGACGACCCCTCCTGGCGTCAAGGCATTGGCGCTGCGGCGCGGGGGCACCGGCAGCTACTCGGCGCACGAAGGGGTGCGGCAGTCGCTCTTCAGCAGCACTGCAGCCGCAGGCGCGGCGCCAGCGGGCTCGGGCGCGACGCAGGTCATGGCGCGGCAGATTGACGGCGGGCCCGTCCGTGGCGCCGAGCCCTTCACGTCGCACTACCCGCTTGCGATCGCTTTGACGCAGCAGCGAGAGTAAAACGCCGCTCATGAGCCTTGCGTGGGAGTGGCCAGAGGCATACAGCTTGTGCATGCTCATTGTTGATGTCATGAGTTGTGATTGCGTATCCATGACCCGTTCAACCCCAAAACATCTTCGCCGGCAGATACCATCAGCGCATTTGGAATCGCGTCACTGCATACAGCTGGGTTGGGGCACACACTTGACTGCGTACCAGAGTACAGGCCCGTGACATGGCGCCTGCGCCCGCTCGCATTCGGGCTGGGCAGCGCAGCAGAGAGCCAGAGCCCGGTGGCCAGTACGTGCATATCCGTTTGAGAGGTTGTTATTGCCCATTTGATCACATCCAACATAAGACGTCAACCCACAGGTCAGCAGTGCAGCATTCAAACAAAATTGTGGAGTACCGCACGGTAGCGTACAGTGTTGCCGTCCTGGCTTCACAAGGTCCGTAAATCTGGCTTAAATGGATGACGACGATGCGCTGTTGCAGCTGCTGGACGCGGCCAGCGTCCCGGAGAAGCGCGCACGGCCTTCTAGCACGATAAAGAGCCTCGCAGGCAAGCGAAGTACAATAAATTCCCATGAATGGGTCGATTAGTTGCACAGCCGTCAGGGCTTGGCGCTGTTGGGTTCGTCACCTGGTGCTGCTGTTGTTGTGCCGACTCGTCCCCGTTGCGCTCCGCAGGCGGTGCAGCGGCGAGCACACCAAGCGTGCGGCGGCAGGTGCAGGCGCAGCCCTGCAAGCACTATGTAGAGGTGTTGACAGGCATCAAGGTGCGTGACGGATTGCGGCTTAGCAAGCAGCCTCACTTCAATACCACCCCGCCATACACCGGGCGCTGCAACCTCCCAAACCCGTCACCACACCTTGCGCTTGCCGTCGCTGTGCAGTGCAAATTGCCCAAGGTGTCTGGCGTGGTGTTCAAGGAGCAGGTATCGCAGCTGCAGTTCGTACCCCTCGACAAGGCCAGGTGCGCGCCGCATGGCTGCAAGATACCCATGAGCCACGCGCCCATGTGGCCGCCCCCTCTTCCGTGTCCCCGCATGGCGCAAATAACCCTCGCCAATGCGCATCCTTGTTGAACGCATCATTTCCCTTCCCCCTTACCTTCCTTGCACGGCATTTCCTGCTCACCTTGCACCCCCTCCCCCGGCCCAAACCTTCATCGTCCCGCACTGCTCCTCGGGTCTCAGGAGTTACACGTCAGACGCCCCCTGGCTGACCATCGGCGTGCTGGTCCGTAAGGAGTTTGCGGCGACCTCCAACGGCCAGTCCTTCAGCCGCTGGCAGCTGGCCGACCTGAGGGGCGGGGAGCTGCGGGCCGTCCTCTTTGGTGACGCGCATGCGCAGCACAAGGGCGCGGTGAGAGGCGGCCAGTTTGGATCGACCGCATAAGGATGGGCGTGCACTCCCAGCGCGCTCTGTGGCGTCAGCCGCGCTGCCGGCGCCCGCAAGGCAGGCGCTGGATGCCTGTGCGCCCGCACGCCGCCCCGTTGTGTGACCATCGGCTCCGCCGCGACGCAGTACACGCCCCCCTGCCCCCTGGCCCCAGGCGGAGGGCAGCGTTGTGGCCCTGGGCAGCTGCCGCACATCGCGCGACGCGCAGTATACGTCGCTGTCGGTGTCTGCGCCGCATCAGGTGCAGCTTCTCGCCACCTCCGAGGGCTTCGGCTTCTGCCAGGGCATCACAAAGGCCGGCGAGCGCTGCTGCCGCGCGGTGGACAAGACGGCGAGCCCGTACTGCGAGTATCACGTGCTGCAGCAGCAGCGGCAGGTCAAGCGCGACCTGAAGGGCGCGACGGCCAGCGGAGCAGTCGCGGCGGCGGCGGCGGCGGCGGGCGCGGGAGTAGCTACAGTCGGCGGGCCCGGCGGCGGCGGCGGTGGCAGTGGCAGTGGCATCGAGGGGCCAGGGCGGCCGCTCGGGCGGACGGAGGGACTGCAAACGGCGGGCGTGCCGGCCGCGGTGGGGCTGACCGGGCAGGAGCGGCGGGAACGGGAGGCGGCCCAGCTGATGGCCAACCGGGTGAGGGGTGCTTTGCTGGTGGGGCCCGGCATGGGCCTGTCTGCGGCGGGCGCGGGTGGCAGTCCGGACCGGGCCGCAAAGCTGCACCTGCTAGGGGACTGTGCAAATTTCATGCAAGCATTGCAGTGGTCCACCGTTTGCTGTCTGCATTCAGCTGGGCTCCGGGCATGCGGTCAAACCGCTCGTATTCAGCAGGAGGGCACGATCCACGCCCGCGTCACCCGCTGCCCTGGGTTGCGCTGCTGCGCAAACGTCTTCCTGCAATAGGAGCGCGTCGCGCAGCAGATCAAAGCGATGGGCGGCCTCAAGGCACCCGACCTCAATCGCACCAGGCCGCCGTCGCCGCCGAGGCATGCCGTCGGCGGCGGCGGCAGCAGCAGCAGCAACAGCAGCGGCGCACCCAGGGCAGCCGGCGGTGGCGGCACGGCGGCGGGCCGGGCTGGGGGCACGGCGGGGGGCCGCAGCGCTGCGGCCACGAGCGGAGGGCGGGGCGGGGGCGTGGGGACGGCCAAAGGTGGCGGGGACACTAAGCGGGCAAAGCTGTTGTCTGGCCTGGGTCTGGCCCCCAGGCCGCCGAGCGGCCCAGTGCCGCAGGCGGCCAAGGCGGGCGGCGCGAGCACAGCCACAGGCGGCGGCAGCAGAGGCGGCGGCGCAGTGGCGGCGGCAAGGGGGGCTGGGGCCGCCCCGAAGCCGGCCGCCGCGGGGGGCCAACTCAGCGGCGCTGCCGCGCAGTTCAGGGCGGCGTTTGGCAGCGTGCTCGACAGCGCGCCTGCAGACGCAGCTCCAAGTGACAGGTGCGGGGCCAGCTGGCCCCTCTATAAAATCCCGCCTCCAGAACCTTCCGACGTTCCTGGGAGTGCCGCCTGCCTGAGCCACGGAACAAACATGCCGCCCTGCCGCGCGTCTGCATTGCGACACGCCCCCCCCCCTTTGGCGCGTCGCCTTGCTGACCTCCCCTGCGCGCCGCCCGCCGCCGCCGCAGCCTGAAGGCCCTGGCGGACGCGCAGCGGCAGGCGGACGTTGACAAGCTGCTGGCGCACTATGAGAAGAAGGACGCCGTTGCGCAGCAGCTGGAGGGCATCACAAAGCTGACGGTGGGGCCAAGGGAGGGGGGGCAGGGGCATTGTGGGGGAGTGGGGTGTGAGCAGGCGGGGCTTTGTGGGGGAGTGGGGTGTGAGCGGGCTGTTGTTTGGGGCTGTTGGCAGAAAGAGTGGTGATTGCTTCACCTGGGAGACGTGCGCGTGTATCGCAGAAGTAGGGCAGTGTGACTCCTGCGCTGAGGGTCGGACGCGTGTCTTTGCATTTAACTGGGGCGGCCGATGTGGGTGGTGAGTACCGGTATCAAGGCACGCTGCACTTGACTTGCAGCTGGCGTTGGAGGGTGGCCCGCACTCGAGACCCAGCACGCGGCGCCGCGCTGCCCCGGTCTGCCGCGCAGGTGACCGCGTTCCGCTGCAGCGCCTGCAACGTGACGAGCGAGAAGCGCCACCCCTCGTGCTCGTCGCACCACGTCGTGCGCGTGCAGGTGGGGATCGGAAGCCCGGCCGAAGGCTTTGAGGGTGCCCTTGCAAGGGCAAGGCTTGGGGTCCCTTGGATCGCGGAGCGTTTCCAGACGCCTGGTCAGTCAGCCACTCCTCGGGAATTTGTGTGACCTTGCGCGGTCCACAATGGCTGCCATGCGCCCTCCATGCTCGCGGTGAGCCAAGCGTGCCCCTCCCCTCCCCTCCCCTCCCGTCCCTGCCAGGCCACCAAGCGCTGGTGGTCGTGCCGCAGCTGCGGCTGGCGCCTGGCGACGCTCAACACCCTCATCCCCACGAAGCGCTGCCCAAAGTGAGGGCCCCGCCGCGACCCCGCCGCGTTTGTGCAGTTGCCCTTTTACATGTTCAATGCGCTCCCTCGGGTTGACGCCGCCCACTTGACCAACCCCGGTTGACGCGGCGCGCCGCGATGCCGTGTGCCCCACAACCCTGGTCCACGCTGTTTCAAAGTTTGGCCAGGCAACGACGCTCTGCTTTGTAGCAGCAAGCACGCACTGCGGCGCCCCAACCCCCATAAGCCCACCACACACCACCCCAAACCCTGCACCAGCCTGTGGGCTGAGGCTTATCTGCCCCCTGCCGGCATCACGCGTCCCGGGCGTTGCTACCCATCGCTGCAGGTGCCGCGACCCCGCCGCCGAGTTCAGCGCGGCCAGCATGTTTGTGGCGCCGCGCGAGGACCGCGCCAACGACGCCGGGATGCACGCGGGCGTGGCGGCGCGCGAGGCGTTCATGGCCCGCGGGGTGGAGCACGACTTTGCGCTGACCTCCTTCCACTGACGGGGCTGGTTGCTGTGGGGTTATGCTTGCACCGCATGTGTCTGTTTGCGTGTGTGTTGAGGAGTGTGTGTGTAGGAGTGGGCGCGAGTACGTGTGTGCAACCTCTCTGTGTCTGGCGGACTTGCTGGCAGCGGCTGGGTGTTACAGCTGTGTGTTGATGACCTTGCGTGCTGGACTTGCCTCGTCTCTTGTTGCTGTTGACAGCTGGCGCCCGCTGCTTTTGTCGCTGGCAGCTCGCCCCCTCTGTGTGTTTTCCCCATGACTTGTGTCTCCCGATCATAGATCTACGCGCAGGAGTTGAGTTACCTCGACAGTGTGTGTTTGTGTGTCGAAAATCCCAAGACTTTGCAAAAGGCTTGCATAGACGCAGCATGAGGTGCAGGGACGAAGCGAACGAGCCCGAGGGGTACAGGAGTGACAGCACAGCCGCAATCCCAGCATCAGCACCACACATGCACACGCGCGACAGAGCGCCCACCGCACGGCATTCAACTGCACACACACTCAAGAGCACACCCTCATTTGCAGCTCCCTGGCGTGACCAAAACGTGCATGCGCCGCGCCGGGCCACCTCGGCAAGGCCACGCTGGCCGGGCCGCCCCTGCCGCGTCACCCGCGCCGCCGGGCCCTCTTAGATCCTGTCCACGTGGATGTGGAACTTAAGAGCATTGAGCTCGCCACCAGCCTGGGGGGGAGGGTTGAGGTTGGAATGAAGGGCGCACGAAATGGATCAGACCTCAGAGCCCGGCCAGCGGGCCCGCGCACGGCAGGACGAACGGCAATCCCGGAAGACCGCAGCCGCGCGCAAGCAGCTGGTTGCCGCCTAGCCGCCGGCTGCAGGGCAGTCCCAGCCCCGGGAGCGCGGACCCCAAGCAAGACAGGAAGAGTGCACACCTGCACGTGGATGAACTCGGGGCGCGCGCGGATGTCGAGGCCGTCGGGCTCCAGGGCCAGCCGCGTGTGACCAATGGCCAGCACGCAGTTGGAGACCTGCGGCGGAGGGCGCGGTTGGAGCGAACGGGTTGTGTGTGTGTGTGTGTGTGTGTGTGTGTGTGTGCGCGCGCGCGCACGTGTGTGTGTGTGTGGGTGGGTGCGCGCGCGCACGTGTGTGCGTGTGTGTGCGCGCGCAACACGGGGAGGCGGAGGACGAGGCGGGATCCCCATGCAACAGCCAGGCGGCGGCCGGCGCGATCGCCTTGCACTAACGCACTCGCGCGCTCGCAGCGCCCCGACACCGGCCCAGCACGCTGGGATTTCGCGCGTCCCGGCAGGCGCCGGATGGCGGGCAGCGACTGACAGGCGGCTGATGCGTTTCGCGTGTCTCTGAGCGCGGCATGGCATGCGGACGGGGTCAAGGACGACGGGGTGGGACGCGGGGCACAGGTGAGGGGCAGGTGTGGCTCACCGCGTCCATGCCGACGCCGGTGAGGCACGGCACGATGCCCTCGCGGATGCGCTGCGCCAGAGCCGTCGACACCACCTGCACGCCGCTGGCCGGGCCCACCTGCAGCCGAGGCGCCGTGCGCGTGGGGCAGGAGAAGCAGGGTCAGGGGGCGTCGATCACGGGGCGGAGGCGTGGGCCCGAAAAGGCAGGAAAACTTGCGAAACAAAGTGGGGCCAAACGGAGCGAGCCCAGCGACGTTGCGCGTGCGATCCGCGAAGCTGAGCTGGCAGTGAGAGCGCGGACTGGCTGAGGGCGCCGGGCCCCGACCTGCATCTCCACGTTGTTGGGCGTGATGGCCCAGTTGAGCTGGAGGGCAGCGGCAGAGGGCGGGCGGAGGGGGGGTGTCCGATCAGCCGCCAGAGCACAGGGGCCGCGCGCCCTCACCCCCCTGGACCGGCCGTGCGACCGAGCACGAGCAGCATCACCTATCAGTGCATAAGCGACCCGCAGCGGCCACGCTCGCATGCCACGCCGTCCGCCCCCTGGGACCTGGCAGGCGCGAGCCCCGCCCGCGCCCCGCCCCACGCGGCGCCACCCACCGGGTGCTTCGCCATGTACATCGCCACTGACGGCTTTTCGGGGGTGCCCCCCTCCCTGAAAGCCGTCTGGAACGTCAGGTCGTGGCCGTCGTTGGCCAGGTAGCCTTCGGAATTCAAACATTCAAACCGGCACCAACGACAGACCAGATCATCGCGAACCAAAAGAGGGTCAAGGCAGGCCAGGAAAGCAAAACGGGCGCGCAGAGGGCAATGCGAGGGTCAACAAACCGCATTCGTCGGGCGTCGGGGGGTGGAGGGCCGGGCGTCGATGGAGGTAGAGGGAGGGCGTCGATCGAGGGGTCGCCACGGGAGGGAGGGCGGGAGGGACGCGGGATGGCGGCCCAGGGGGGGGGAAAAGGCGTGCAGAAGGGGCGTAGGCAGGCAGCAAGCAGCGGGGGGAGAGGACGTCAGAGGGGTTGGGTTGGGGGGACAAGATGGGGGAACACCACGGCCGGCCCCGGCGCCGCGGGGGCGCGCGCACGGCAACGCCCCACGATGCGGCTGCGGTTCTTTATCGTATCCCGTTTGCAGCAACTGCAAAAAAGGGGGCCGGTGGACGGGGTGGTGGCGGCACAGAGGGGCCGGGGGGATCGGGCTCGCGTCAGGCTGGGGAGAGAAGCTGGGGGGAAGCTTCTGGCGCTGTGGGAGAAAGGAGGGGCCATGCCCCGATGGTGGGGACGGCCGACTGGGGCCAGCTGGCCAGCTGCTGCCGGGTTTCGCGGTTTGGCTGCGGTTGGTGCGTACGGCTGCTTGCGCTGGTGCGGCTCCCCAGCTGCCATTAGCAGTCTTGCCTTCTTGGGCTCATGGTGCTCGTGTCCTCCTGCCCCTTTCAGCCCACGTGCTAATATATTGGCTCACACGCGCGCAGGCAGCTCTTGCCTGCAACCCCATGTCAATGCGGAAACAGCGCCGCTGTTCAACTGCCAATTCAGTCACATGACTGCGGCGCCCTCCAGCACTGGCCGCCCCCCCCCCCCCGTCCCCGGCGCGGCCCCCTCCGGCATCCCCTCGCGCCACCCACCCCGCGCCGTGGCGATGGCCTTCACGCCCTGGTTGATGCAGCTGCTGCCGATCGCCAGCATCGCCGGCGCGTCGCCCGCGCGGCAGGTGTGGGCCACCTTCCCGGCCACCTGCTTCACTTGACTGTTGGCAGACACCTGGCGTCGTGGGTTGGATTCCATGGGTTGGGGTCGTGTCTTTGCGTCGCCATGCGGACGATCCATGCGTTGGGAGGCGGGGCGACGCGGGTCTGCGGCATGCATGTGTGCGCGCCAGCTGCAAAGATGGTGGCAACGCGGTCCTCTGGACAGCAGGCTGCGCCGCTTGGGTTGCGCCGTCGCGAGCAGCGCACGAGGTGGTGTGCTGCGCACCTTGACAAAGGTCGGGCCGCCCGGCTCCTGCGGGGGCATGGGCGCGAGCCCGGCGCCGGTGCGCGGCGGCCCGGCCGCGGCGCGCGCCTGCGCTATCGCCGCCGCCTGCGCGGCGGCGGCTGTCGCTGCGGCGATCGCCGCTTTGAAGGCGGCTTGCTGCAGGGCCGCATCGTCGGCCGGGGGCGCCGCGGCGGGGGGCGCGGGGAGAACCTCGGCCGCGGCCGCAGCGGCTGGTGGCGGAGGCAGGGCGTCAGCTGCGTGAGGAGCTGCCACTCCCTTTGCCGCCTCCTTGTCCTTTTCGCTGTAGGGCTCCGCACGGTCAGGCGAGCTGGCTGAGCGGCGCTCTGGTCCTGGCGCCATCGCTGCTGATGCTTGAGGAGCACTGGTGTCGCTGTGCTTGCTGTGTGCGACTCAGCACTTCAGGCTGCCTTACAGTTAACAGACGACAGGAGATAAAGCGCGGACCGTTCACGGCCTTCGAGGAGGCGCGAGATCAGACGATCACACAGCGGTATGGCTGCCCACTTGGTTCAACAGACTATGTCGTTGTCCAGATTGAGCACTCCAGCGACAAATGCTGTGAGGACGCGAGTCTCGCCTGCACCCGCTTCTGCCCAGCTCCTGTCGACCTGCTTCTGCAGAAACGCACCATTTTTACACACAATTTGTGCTAGATGTTACCCAGGTGACTAACATCCGCTGTATTGTTTCTTTGAAGCACTGCCACGAACACAGATCGCAAGGGCACGAGCAGGAGCCGCAGACGTGCAGCGCTCCAGGCGCTTTTTTTCTATTACTGTGCCATGCAACCGCTGCTGGGCGCCCGCCTCACAGCGTCGGCTTCTCTAGGCGCTGGGCAGCAGATCTGTGCGTTGGCTGCTGCTCTGCGGGGCGTGCTGCAGGCGCCGCTCAGCCTTGGCAGCGGCGGGGGCGGGAATTGCGGCTACGGCACAGCAGCATTGTCAGCGGTGACTGACGATACTAGTAGTAGCAATGCCAGCTGCAGCAGCAGAAGCAGCAGCCGCGGCGGCAGCCGCAGCAGTGGCAGTCGCAGTGGCGGAGGCAGAAGCAGCAGCCATTTGTCTTGCTGCACTGACGGCGGCCACAGCCGCTGCCGTAGCGGCAGCGGTGCCAGCGAAAGCAGCAGGGATCCCAGCAGCAGCAGCAGCAGCAGCAGTGGCGGTAGCGGCGACGATCCCGCGCGTGGGTCTGCCGACCACAATCAAAACTTCCGGTGGCATGACATGGCACCCACCGCAACCGCCGGCAGCAGCGCCAGCGCGCTGTGGCCCGCGCAGCAGCAGCAGTTGCAGCAACAGTCGCTTCTTGTGCATGGCGCCGCCCGCCAGCGGCTGCTCGGCAACATGACGCAGCAGCAGCAGCAGCAACAGCAGTGGGGGCAGCGAGCCCCCCACACCTCCTATCAGCAGCAGCAGCAGTGGCGCGCCTACCGCGGCGCCGCCAAGCGCGTCCGCCACTCCCTCCCCGACGAGCTCTCTGCCGCGCTGGCCGTCGCCAAAGCCGCGCGCCCGCCGCGCGCGGAGCCGCCGCAGCTCGCGCCGCGCGAGCTGCAGTTCTCGTCGCGCCGCGCCGGCGCGATCGCGATCAAGGCGGGCATGACCCAGGAGTGGGACGAGTACGGCGCGCGCGTGCCGCTGACGGTTCTCTGGATCGACGACTGCAAAGTCATGCGGCACAAGACGGCGGACGCGGACGGCGTGACGTCGCTGGTGCTGGCGTGCGGCGCGAAGAAGGAGAAGCAGCTGCACCCGCGGCAGATGGCTGAGTTCAAGGCAGCCGGTGAGGGCTGGGGTTGGGGCAGGTGGTGGGTTTGGAGGGCAGGGACGGCGGTTCAGGGGCAGTGTGCAGGGCACTGTAAAGGGGCGGAAGAGAGAGGGCGCGAGAAGGAAAGAGAGAGAGAGAGAGAGCGTGTGTCTGTGTGTGTGTGCGCGCGCGCACCCGTGCGCATGCGGAGGTGGGCGTTGCAGCATCTCCTGCAAGGCAGTCGGTGACATGTGCTGCGCAAGCGGCGGCCTTGCCCAGATCACCAGGGTTCCCATGATGCGCTAGCCCCAGGGCTGCTCAGAAAGGGTGCTTAACAGGATGCATTGTCTCGGCTCCACACACACACACACACACACACACACACACATCATGACCCTCCCACAACACACCCGCCGCCCACAAACGCAGGCATTCCCCTCGCGCGCAAGCTCTGGGAGTGCCCCGTCTCTGAAGACGCCGTCCTGCCCGCCGGCACGCCCATAACGGCCGCCCACTTTGCCGCGGGCCAGTACCTGGACGTCACAGGGACCACCAAGGGCAAGGGCTTTGCCGGCGTGATGAAGCGCTGGGGCTTCAAGGGGCAGGGCGCGAGCCACGGCAACACCAAAAGCCACAGGCGGCCGGGCGCGATCGGCGGCGGGCGCGCAGACCCCGGCAAGGTGTGGAAGGGCAAGAAGATGCCGGGGCACATGGGCGCGGAGACCAAGGTGGTGCGCAACGTTTGGCTCTACAAGGTGCGCTTCCGCAGAGATGGACAGTGCCGCGGCCCGCTTGAACAAGGACAGAGGGGGCCGCTCCGGCAGCAGGGCTGCTGGGTTGGGGCGTGGGCCATTTGTGGCTGTGCCCATCCTTAGACTGGCCGGCCCGCGCGGCTTCCGGCGGCGTTGGCCTCTTCATCGGCGCTCCCACGGCCCGCCCCCTGACCGCCCACTCTCTGCTGCCCACACCCCCAAACCCCTCCGCCAGGTGGACCCCCAGCGCAACCTGCTGTACGTTCGCGGCCAGGTGCCCGGCCCCGCGGGCGGCTTCCTATTCATCCGCGACGCGTTCCGCTGGCACTGGGCGCAGCGCGCCGCCGCGGGGCTGCCATTCCCGACGGCGCTGCCTGTCCCCGGCGGCGAGGGCGCCATGGGCGGAGCATCGGGCGTGGTCGTGGCCAAGCGGGACGGCCCCGACCCGTACGAGAGGTTCCGCTCTGACGTGGGGGAGTACGCGGAGGGCGCCGACTGGAAGACCGAGTGATGACATCAGCTGACTCGGGAGTGCAAGCGGGCCCGCGGCGGCTGTGTTAGTTGGCTGTCGGCGCGGTGTTCCTTTCTTGCGCCACGCGTGCGAGGGTGCGCGCTTGCCGCGTGGCGCTGCATGTTGCTCTGGCTCTGCTTGTTATGCCTCTGATTTCGCAACTGGGGTTGGAGCAAATCAGCAGATGGCCACCAGTCACGCAGCGGGACCGCCCAAAAAACGCGAGTATCACCTTCTTATGGTTGTAATTACACAGCAGGCCCGCCTCATGCCCCAGATTTACCCTGCTCCCCCATCATTTGAACAGTCAGGGCCCCCTTGCTGTACCACAAAGTACGATCCCGTCAGTGAATGACCAGTGTGGATTCGCAAAGCGCTGGGCTAAGAGAATTCAGGTGGTGTAAAGTAAGGTGCAGACAGCCCTGCTGTTCCAAGCGCAAAATGACCAACTGTGCGCATGTCGTCGCTGAAACAGGCCTCTGGTGCTTCAAGCAACGATGAACCTTTGTGCAATGGTGGGAGTGATAGTCAAAGCCACAGATCCCGCTGTCAACAGGCAAGCCCCTGCTTTCCTGCTCAATCCTGGGGTTGGCAGTCCTATTCACTCCCAGTCGCTGGGGGCCAACCAGGCCCCCAGGGCACTGTAGGTGCCGCCGCAGTCCTCGTCGCGCCCCCAGCCACTGCCGCCCCTCCTGGGCCCGCAGCCCGCCGTGCCGGCCCGCTGGCTGCGCCCGCCATAGCCGCCCCTGGAGCGGCGCTCCCACCGCTGCTGCACTGTGTGCTGGGGCGCCTGTGCCTGCAGATGCTCTGGCAGCCGCGGCACCCAGCCGTTGGCAATAGCATTGCCCACCTCGTCGGCCCAGTCGGGGATCTTGATCTGGATCGACTCCCACTCGCGGTCAGCGGTACTGGCAGCCGGCGCCCTCGGGGTGGTGCGCTGCTGAATGCGGTGCTGCTGGTGCTGCTGCTGCTGCTGCTGCTGCTGCTGCTGCTGCTGCTGCTGCTGCTGCTGCTGCTGCTGCTGCTGCTGCTGCTGCTGCTGCTGCTGCTGCTTGCTCTTGCGCTGGCTGACTGTTTGCAGCGGCCGCGCCGCCTTGGCCACAGCAGCCGGGGAGCGGGTGCGTGGCGCGGCTGCTGTGCTGGCGTCGCCGCCCGACGTGCGCCGCAGGTCGTCGCCCTCGCTGTCACGACTGCTGCGGCTGCCGCCGCTCTTGCCCGCGGCCGACGCTTGGACGTCGCGCACCGCCTGGCTGAACAGATCGCGGGGCGCCACAGGGTGGAGGCGCTTGCTGTGGGAGCGGCACGCTTGCGCCTCGGCAGCGTCGGTGGAAAGGGCCCGGGCAGACCCCCAGAGAGATGCGGGTGCCTTCCGGCAGCCGACCGCGGGGGCGCTCGGCTGCTGCTGCAGGGCGATGCTGACAAACATATCGCCGTCGTCGCTGGCACGGCCGCTGGCGGTGCTGGGTTGGCTGCCGGCTCTGCTGATGCTCGTGCTGCTGGTGCGTGGGTCAACAGAGGTCACGGTTGTGTGCGTTGGCGCTCCTCCCTGCTCACTCTCACGCTGCTCCTTGGGGTTGGCCGGAGCCTCGCCTGCTCGGCTCACAGGGGGCTTCTCAGGGCCAGCATCTGCCTGGTTGACATCGGGCTCGGCGGGCGATCGCCGGCTGTTCCCCTGGCCGCGGATGGATAGATAGA